TCAAACCCCCACAGCAGAGCTCTTTAGCATAAAACACATTTCTCTTTGGCAGGGCTTTCCCTCTGGATTGTGGGAGAAGGGATAATGGGAAGTGTTTGTGTGTCGGGAGCCAACGCAGACGCCTCGACGGAAACGAGGATTTCACACCCCAGGTTTCCCAGCTGAACCAAACCTCAAATCACTGTCAGCTCCACAACACACACACCCCCCAGTGAAACACAGAACTGAGGGAATTCTTCCTCTGGCTGCTTTTAAAAAGGAACACAAACAATTCATCTACACCAAGCACTGGAAGACTTTTTCCTCCCACTCCTTTAATTTATCTCTTTTGCAGTTTCTGTGTATCCATGATTTCTGCTGTATTAGCAGGATCTTTCTTGCTTCAGGTGTTGCTGGAGATTTTTTAGTTATTATTTTGAGCAAGGGGATTCCTTCAGGTACCTGGGAAAAGGTGGCAACGAAAAGAAACTTCACCTGAATTTCGGGTGGTTTCCTAAGTCCCTCAGCTCAGCAGAGTTTGAAACTGTTCCACACTCAAAGCCTTCTTAATTCTGATGAGCCCTGAATTAATCCTGAGAGCAAGAAAGGTCACAATGCAGTCTCAGAGGGCTGTAAAAGTTTAAACTCTCACTTACCAGCTCACAGGCACACAGGAGTCCCTCTGCATCTTCCTCGGGGAACCCCAAACCCCCAAGGTTTGTGGTTTAGCTGCTAATTCCTCCCTGACACTGCAACTGTTTCCCAACAAACCTGCAGTGGCAGAACATCAGTCAGGGAACAGAACAATCTTTTATCAAGTTAAAGCACAAGGAGGACTCGTTTTTCCAGCTTCCTGAACGTGCCCCAGTGAAAAGAACCCCCATCCCCAGGATTATGCAACCAGCAATTAAACCCACACACCTCCTGCTCCAAGGGGATCTACCTTAAGCCAGGCTTTGCTGCAAAAGCTGTTTTTATTTCAGGGCACACCTGCCTTGGGCAAACACTCATTAACACCACCGTTTACTGCTGTTACAACAGTTGTTGCAGCCTGAAAAAACCTAGAGCAGGAACGAATATGCTACAGGGAAAGACTGGAAAAAGGGACATATCATAGAATGGTGGAATGGTTTTGGTGGGAAGGGAACTTCAAAGTCATTCAGTCCCACCCCCTGCCACGGGCAGGGACAGCTTCCACTATCCCAGGGTGTTCCTACCTGGCCTTGGACACTCCCAGGGATGGGGCAGCCACAGCTTCTCTGGGCAACCTGTGCCAGGGCCACCCTCTGAGTAAATAATTCCTTCCTAATATCCCACCTAACCCTACTCTGCCAGTGTGAAGCCGTTCCCCCTTGGGATGGTGCTCCAGCCCCTGTCAATAGTCCCTTCTCCATGTTTTTTGCAGGCACTGGAAGGCCACAATTAGGTCATCCCAGAGCCTCCTCTTCTCCCAGCTGAACAACCCCAATGTTTGTATGGCCTGTTTAAGGGTTTGGGGGCTTTTTCACTCCAAAAGGGTGCAACAAAAATCAGTGTTATTGAGGCGTGTATTGGGTGGAAGTTTAGGAAAAAAAAAAAACCAACAAAACGAAAAACCCCCAAAGAAACAAAACCAGTCACACCAAGTGCCCACAACCCCAAAAATCTCAGGTTGAGAAAAAATCCTGTTAAAACTGACTTGGTTTATTAGGAAATAAAGTATCCAGAGTTTTAGCGGGTGATGAGAAGGAGGGGATTCGTTCCCAAACGCACCAGGAGCCAGCGAGGGGCGACTCTGCCCATCTTCACCCTCATCCCAAACCACCTCCGCCCTCCCCAGCCAGAGCATCGGGGTGGGGGCTTTTCCCCCCAGGAATTCGCCCCCTTCGGCAAACCCAATCCCACCCCGGCACCCTGCGAACAATGGGGCACCGCCCGGGGCTCTCCGCCCGCCCCGGGGGTCACCTCCCGTGCCCGCTCCCGCCTCCTCCTCTTCCTCCCCCTCCTCACCTGCAGTCTCACCTGAGCCCCCGCCGCGGCAGCACCGCCGAGGTTCCCGTTCGTACCCCCC